TCATCCCCATCCTACCAGCTTCATCGCCGATAGCCCAACAACTACAAAATTGAATTCGCCCCATCCTTCCCAACACCCCATCAACTCGAACCCGCCTATTTCAAAAAATAAATTATCTGCTTCTATGTCTGCAAATTCAAAAACAAAAAAAATAATAATTTGAAAACAGAGAATGAATTCAATCCAGCACAGGAATTTTCTCTTTGTGCCTAATGTTGTATCCGGTTAGAGAGAGAGAAAGAGGGCGGATGGGATCTGGCTGGGGTGGTAGTGGGCATCGGGGAGGAGCATGAGAACATGATCCCGAGAGAGATTGTGGTGAGGTTGTGGAGTCGCCGCTGGGTCTGGGGATGATGCGGTGCTCCATATATACATCGTTTGTGCTGTGATGATGGTGAGTAGGCTGGTAATGGTGGTTATGGAAGAGAGAGGAGGGGATTGGGTTTGATCGGGAAGAAGGGAAACAGAGGTTCTAGAGAGAAAAAGAAAAGTTTTTGTTGGTTTTTTTATTTTTATTAATATTTTATTCAACTTGTGTTTTAAAAAGATTATTTTATTCTTTTTTGACGGCCATTTGGATGGAATTGGGGAAAACCTAACGGCAGGGGTGAAATTAGCAATTAAATTTAATACGAATGCTAAATTGGCTGAAAAAAAAATTCAGGGTGGACATTTCGACAAGCCAAATAGTCCAGGGGGGTTTTAGACCCTTTACCCAAACGAGAATTCAGCTACTGGATTTTAATCGTTACAGCTTCAATAGTCTGGCAGATGCATTGTGATACATAAAATAGAATTCCTTTGAGTTTTAGAAAAATGGATCCCATCTCCCAAAGCTGTAACAAAGTCTGCGTTACCATCCAGCAGCCAAGGTTCACAGATACTGCTTATTGCAGATACACAGATTACGTAATACATTCCCTTGGCAAAGTTTGAAAAATTCTTTTATCCAAATATCTTATTTATGCATAGAAGATGTTCAAACTCAAGTTCTGATAACATTAGACTAATTCAAGGGTGTAAATCAACATAAAGTTAAGAATGTAAAAGGAACTTATCACAAGAATTATATACCTTATCCACCACCACATGTAAAGACAGCAAGTTTACGAAAATAAAGGGAAAAAATTAGCATATCATAATAGTAGAATACTAGAATTTATAAGAAGCAGCGAAACAAGGTAAACCAAAATACAAATAACACAAACAGAACAAACAATTTGTTAACTTCTTTCTTTCTTTTCACATCTTGAAGACAAAAAATTACCAACTAAAAGATTAAAAGCATGGGCAAATAAATCTATGACAAGTGTAATAGTTACACTTGACGAGTACTAACATGTAAACATGGAGAACAACATAGCAATAACGACCAAATCTTAACAATTGTACTTTCCATTGCAATCTTTGTTGGATCACTTATTAATCACTCAAAAATATGCAACCAACAGTTGAAAAACTCGGGAAGCAAACCACGGCTGAATTAAGGTGGACCCTATAACTTTTGTTCAACTGAATTCAAGTCACATCACTATGCCTTCTGTTAAAATCCGTCTCTGTATTGCCTCAATCAGGATAGTAGCAGTCTAAATTCACCTGTTTCCTATGAGAATTATGATTTATATAACCACAAATACCAATATGGCTGTAAAGGACTATCATCAGATGGCTCATCCGTCACATAGTATGGAGGTGCACAGGCTTATAATAAGCCTGATAGATAGGAGATTATAGCTCTAGTCTGTTAGAGTCTAATCTCTCTCATTACCAGAATCTGTTTAGTCTGTTTTGATTGGTTAAGCTCTAGTAGAGCTGTATAAATACAGCTTGTAATGATTATTCAATCATAATGAGAATTACACTTCATTTTTTTCATCTCTCTCTTCATCGTATCATATCAGGAGTCTGAAGTCTCACGACGATTTCAGCTCTGAGTTTTCTCAGCTCTTTCTTGCATTTTTAGACCATGGGTTCATGGTGTAAAAGTTCCAATTTATTTATTTTTTTTAACGAAAATAACATTGAAAAATTAAACGATGGCACTTTCATTCCTAATCAACTAATCAAAACACCAAACCCTTATCAATTAAGATAAGTATTAAAAATAAAAGCATAATCAATTAATCAAAACACAAGCCTGAATCAATTAATGAAACTACTATCAATAAACCATTAATCAAAACACAAATCTCATCCAATAAATCAAACCAATATCAATAGACCATGATTTCAATTTCAATTGAATTAAAAACTTCATATATTATCGTCAATTGGCGATTATGGTTTAAAATTTATTTGAAAATAGATATTTTAGCAATGTTGAGTAGCGGCACTAACAAATCAAATCATTAATATATTCATCCAATGCAATAAATCATTGTCCAAGCACAAACCATCAAAATTCATGTGATAACTCATTATAACTTTCACTAAATTCAACACATTATGCATTATCATCAATTAGGGCTTTAGAGTTCACAAATTACTTGAATATGAGCTTTTTACCACTAATACGAGCGGCAAAAGCGGAGGCAGCAGCGGTTGGAGGCGACGGCAGCAGCTGGAGTCGGCGGCTACAGCAGGGGGGACATGGGGTTGGGTTTGTTGGCGAGGAGGAAGAAATGTCGATTTGGGGGTGAGTCGGGGTGGGCAAGTAAAAAGAGCTGGGGTGGTTTATTTATTTATTTAAGACCTGGCATGAAACGACGTCGTTTCATCCAAGTCATTTGCTGTGTTATTTTCGGCAAGGCTATCTGGACTTTTGTCAAACAGGTTGTGGGCGTGCAAGGGTCGCACACCAGCCAGCGAAGGAGCTTACCAGGCCTCCATGGATCGTCCGACCCTTTATGTCCCTTAATGGATCCGCCAATGGAACAAAAACTGCTCTAAAGGCTCTTTGAGCCAGACTTTGTCTTGCTCAATATGGGTATCAGTGTGAAACAACAGAGAGTTAGAAAGTGTAGGCTGTTGTAAATCCATGATAAGATGGATGCCCACTATATACCCACCATACCTGCATACACTATGTAATACCTAACGCTCCCACTATATATTTGAAACCAACCATTTATGTAGTAAACTATGTGTTAAGGTCCAAAAAATTTAAGGCTTGGCTCAAATATATTTTTAGCCAAGTACAACACTTAATCGAGAAAGGAGCCTGTTTGGGCCCAAATTTGGCACGCCGAAAACAAAAGCCCACACCATCTCCTAGGCCGCCTGTTTCAGACGACCTCAAGCCCATCAGCACGACCCAGCCCATTAAACAAGTGGACAGGCCAAGAACAATAAACCTGGCCCAAGACGTTAAGAGGCCTGGAAACAGTGAAAATCAGAAAGCAACTTGGGTCTTGGAAGAACTAGAATGGGGCTCAAAACACAAACTAAACCCAGCTGATCTTTTAAAAACAGTCCCACGTGACCCCTGACTAAGAAAAGTCAACAAAATCGGCTGAAATCAAGATTGAACAGGAGCAGGTATAAAAGAAGGACGTTTCTAAAAAACTCTGTTGCCAGAAGACCAAGCCCCGTTTTGTTTATTCGAAAGATATCCTTCTGCACCAAAGAAGGCGCCATTTTCAAAGGATAAGCACAC